TCTTAGAAATATCGAAGGTGAGGTAGACGTGGTGGTACACTTCTTTAATCCCAACACTCGGAAGGTAGAAACAGGTGATCTCTGTGTATCTGAGGCCAGCCTAGATTATATAGCTTGTTTCAGGCCAACCAGGGGTGCATAAAGGAATCCCTTTCTAAAGAGGGGTGGTGGTGGTGTAACTAGGTGTGTGCATGCATGTATATGCAGGGTTCTCATAACAAATGCATCTGGACTAGGTTAAGCAAAAGGAGGAAGTTGATTTGTAGACTATCTGAAGCATTTTGTAGAAACCAAGATCCAGGAAGTGCTGCTGGGCCACTTGAGGGGTTGAGGCCAGGCTGTGGAACGAGACCCTGCCTCAGAGCTCACTCTACACCTTCCCTCCTGCCCCTGTCCGCTCTTCTGTGCCTGGACTTGCATGTGTCCGCCTCATCCAGCTCTACATTATTTACAAGTTCCGTCAGACCGCAGACTCTCCAGCCGCTAGCTCCACCTAGTCAGGGCCAAGCGTCCACACTAGACTCAAATATTGATGGTCAGGGGAGTGGCGTGAGCATGTCTCTAGGGCCACACTGTGGGTGTGCAGGGCACAGTTAGATGAGACAGTACCATGAAAAGAATACGCCACAGACAAAGCCAGAAGTGAAAGCAAGAGCGTGCGTTCTGGAGGAGCCAGGAGCATGGGTAAATTCAGCACAAGCACTGAGACTCACAGGCTTGCAGAGGCTAAGAAAAGTTGGCTGACTGCTGGCATGCCTGTTTTCTTCGTTAGGATTTGGAAGCGGTGGGGACCATATTGTATATCAAGTTCATGATTCTGTATTTAATATCATTAAGACCACATTATACGTCGCGCTTACTGCTTTTGTTCAGTAGTATGGGTGATGCTTAGTTTCCTGTATCATTTTGCTACGCCACCGTGTATAGATTTTTGACCAGTGATCTAGATGCTTCTGTAAAGGTACATTTTTAGATATATAATTAATGTTTTTATTTCCAGTAAACTCTAGCTACACACCATCAATATTTATTTGTTTGTTTGTTTGTTTATTTGTTTGTTTCTTTTAAAGACTGTGTTTCTCTGTGTAGCATGGGTGTCCTAGAACTCACTCTATAGACCAGGCTGCCTTCAAACCCAGAGGTCTGCCTGCCTCTGTTTCTTGAGTGCTAGGATTAAAGGCACATACCACCACTGCCTGGCTTATTTTTATTTATTTATTTATTTATTTATTTATTTATTTATTTATTTATTTATTGGTTTTTTCGAGACAGGGTTTCTCTGTGTAGCTTTGCGTCTTTCCTAGAATTCACATGGTAGCCCAGGCTGGCCTCGAACTCACAGAGATCC